AAGTTCGGGGTCTGCTCTGAGTTTCGACGCCTTTCCTCGGTTCCAGTTCCGTTAGCTTGGACTTCCTGACCTGTCCCCATCACCGTGGCCTTCCCTGTGGTGTCACTAACTTCCCTTCTGGAGGTGGAAGTTTCTCCCAAGGTTAAAGCTTTCCAGAGAGAATCCGCCACTGCGGGCAGCACCACATCTTCTTTTGATTAAATAGAGCTCCCTAAGAGCCAGGAAATCATTCTCAGTATCTCAGCCCCTCCTGTAGCCTTTCCAGATTATTTCCTCTTATTCTGTCTTCAGTGAAAGAAATCCAGCAAAAAACAGCTGAGCCGCCTAAAACATTTGTAAAATGACCTGGAATTTGAACTCAAGACTTTGTAAGAGGACAAATAATCTTCCATCAAACTAAGTCCTACTTTGGACTGACAGGAACCACTTCAGCCTTCCTTAGAATTGTTCTCTTTAATGACCACCTGCTTTGGCACTGAGGAGAAGCCTATGTAAACAGAAAGTGGAGATGTATTCACTAACTAATCCAGGATCCCAGAATGTGTGTTTTAACTTTAAGGACACTGGAGGCTGGAAGGAGACTCCCCACTTCCCAGGCAATGGAGTAGAAAAGAACAGATGTGAAGTGGCAGGGTAAAGACTCCCAACATTAAAGAGTTGGTTTTGAGGCAAGTTAAGCCAGGCCTTCAGATCTGGCAGAACAGAAAATTATCAGGAGAACCAGCTCCCAGAAGTACAGAGTCAGAAGGAGATGGCAGAGTAGGAGATGGAGGGAAAAATTGAAAAGAATACCGGGACTTCCCCTCTCTGCCCATCTAACTTCAGCGTACATGCCCCTTTCCCCCCCTTACCAGGAACAGTCCCAGCCAAGATGTAGCTGTATCCGAGACCCCCAGTCGGACTGCTACACAATCTAATTCTCAAAATGTGAAAGCAATTGACTTCCTTATCAATAGAAAGAGAATGGGCTGGCAACGGCAAAAGAATTGCAAATTAGAATTAGAGCTAAAGAGCTCTAATTAGAAAACTAGGATTAGAGCTAAGGAGATTCCCAAATTAGGCAGGTATTCCAACTAGAAGTGGGAAAGAGGCCATGATGTACTTCCAGAGGAACCTCTCAGCACTTCATGTGGACACAGTGGTACACCCTGTCCCTGCTCTCCCAGGCCTCCATCTCCTAACCCATTTTAAGAAAAGAAAATTTCATACTCCCCAAAAGTTATTTGCAAAAGGAACTTTAGACTCCTTCGTTTAACAAATGGGAAAACTAAGGCCAGAAAAAGTATGTGGTCCCACAAAGAGTAAGCAACAAAGCCTAGGCTAAGTCTCCCAACCTTTTTCTAGATCTTTTCCGCTCCGTGGCTCTTTCTCTTTCTTTAGGCACCAGTCCTGGTGTTTAACTTCAACCCCATTCCTCTTGCTGAAATCCAACCCCATTTCTGTCTTACCATCCCTCTAGTCAGGGTATATCTGTTTCATTCATAGGCTCAAAAGACCCGCTATTCTTTTCTCCCTCTTTTCCTCCTGTCCCCTGCCCCAACCTTTCCCAGGCTCCTTCTGCCCAACCTCATTTCTCTCCTTTTCAGCTTCCAAACTGCCCCTGTCCCTTGGAGCCCATGCCTCCTCACTCCCCTAACCCCACAATCCTTTCCAACCAGCTTGGAGTTTGATAGAGACCAAAAATGACATTTTGGCACTGGTGACGGATGGATGTGATCTGCCTCCTACAGGAATGCTATTTAAAGGGGCAGCTTCACAATCCTCTCCTCCCAAAGTGACAAGAGAAAAGCCTGCTCCTCAATCTCTCCAGAGCTGCAAACTCAGCTCAAGTTAACTTGTGACTTCCTCAACCTGCAACGTGGCCTGCTGCTCCTGCTTCCTGTTCAGGTGGGCGGGAGAGTACTTGACAACTCATTGAGGTGTGGGGGCTGTGGGGGGGTTCATCTTCATCTCTTCTGATGACAGGTACTTAAGAGGAGCAGGAGGCCCTGTGGGGAGGAGGACTGGAAGAACACTCTTCCCCCCAAACCCCGTGAGTGCATTTCAGCCATGTGCCAGCCTCTTCTCAAAGTGAAACTTTGTTGAAGAACTGATATAGGCATGAGGACCTAACATTAAGGAAGCCTTGTCCCTACCAGGGACCTCCTTCTCCTGGATTAGAGCTCAAACAGCAGCTGTTCTCTACCTCCTGGGCAAAGTGCCAAAGGGTAAGACCTCCCCCACCTCCCGCCCCTGCATCAAGGCCCCAGACCCACTGCATTTAGAAGCTTCCCTCACCTGCCCACTGAACTGAACATCATAGTGTCTTTACTGCCCAAAGGAATGGGAGCTCCTCTGCAAGCATCTCGCCGCAGGCCTGGTAGGAGGGATAATTCCATCTCTTTGCTGCAAACAAGTTAATGGAGATTGTAATGAAAACACTGCACTAATGAAAATGCTGAAGCTAAAACCTACTCTGCCTGTAAGACAAAGCAATCAAAGTCAGAATTTCTCCCTGATACTCATTCCTCAGTTCCTTTTAAGCCTGAAGAAAGCAAGCTGGGGATCTGAGAGCAGAAAGCAGTTCATAGTTGATTGTGTCCTAGGCTGTGAGGGGTCTCTGACAATTTAGGCAATTTAGGAAGCAAATTGCCTAAAGTGCTGATGGGCCCTGTTACCCCTAGACATTCACGTTTTGTTTCAGGTGGTTAAGGTCATCATGTCCTTACATCCTCTTATTTTTGCTTATTCAAGGGTCTCTGGGTTCTAACAACTAAGTCTGTACAGATGAAGAGGCAGTCTGTTCAGGGAGAAAATGGCTAGGACTGAATATCATACTCGGCTCCCAGTCCTGGACGTACTGCTAAACATGTGACCTTCATTAAGTCATTTAACATTTGTGACCCTGTTTACTGGTCTGAAATAAGGAAGCCTCCTCTGGCTACCTTGCAGAAATGTCATAAGGATAAAAGAGCACTTTGAAAAAGTACATGTCATAGATAAATGTATGTGTAATTGTATATTTACAAAAAAGATATTATAACAAATGACAAAATTTTAGAAAAAGGGAACAGATTTGTGTTGCCAGGGTTAGGGAAGGGGAAGAAGGTTGCAGGAGAGAAGTGGGTGTGGTTACAAAAGAGCAACCTGAGGATCCATGTGGTGTTGGAACTGTTCTGTATCTTGACCAAAGTGATGGGTATACAAACCTACACGTGATACAGCTGCACATAACTAAATACAGACACACAGAGAAATGAGTATAAGTAAAACTGGGAAATCTGAATAGGATCAGTGGATTGTATCAATGTCAATATCCTGGTTATGATGGTATACTATTGTTTTTGCAAGACATTACTGTGAGGGAAACTGGCAAAGATGCACAGGATCTCTCTCCATTAGTTTGTTGGATTAGCTATCTCAATAAAAATTTTAATTAAAAAAATAAAGTTACTATGTCTACCCTCTACTCTCCTGCAGCAACTTGTCTTCTGCACTCTGGGAGGCTCCTATTAAGCATTTCCACATGCAGGTGAAAAAGAGGTCTCCATCTCCTCAAGATGATGATCCCAGCAGAGATGTGTTGAAGAGTTGTTCAGACAGTTTTGATCCTTCTTGACCTCATCAACTTTGCCCTCAGTCTCAGTAGGTCTGATCCTGAATCATTCCTTAGAACACACTGTCCTTTCCATAGCAAGGAAGGACAACTTGCTGAGGCTTGAAGCAGGATCCTCTGTTGCTTCTATCTTAAAAGAGCAGACAATTGTTGCTAGGAAAAGCTCGTGTATTGATTAGGGGTGCGAAGTTTAAAAAGTAGGGACTAAGCCTGGGTCTCAAGAAATAAAAATCAAACACACACACAAAATCCAAACACAGCCATTAAATAGCTTGAATGAAGGCCAGACGGTTTTGCTGAAAATCAACAATTGCTTCACTTTATTATGGAAGTATGAACATGACCCTGATTAATCAGCTAGTTAATTATTTGCCCATTCCAACCACTCTAAACCTGTGACATACATGATCTGTTGCTCCAGCTTCCCTGGCAGTGGGTGCACAGAAGTGATAGATGGAGGCCACTGTTTCCTGCCATGAAATGAACTAAACCTAGTTTAGTGCTATCTTGAATGCCCCAGGCTTTGTGACACTTGAAATTCTAATTAGTACGGAAAAGGCTAAGTTGAAACAGCTTGTACTCCCTCAAGTATACCCACTCTCCGGGCCCTACAACCTAATGAGGTCTATGAAATTTAAGGTCTGGAAGAGAAATCCCTGCCTGGAGCAACAGCCGCACCAACGATGACAAAGGGATTGGGGTTAAATCCAGATCGGAGGACGAGTACCCCAAATGGTCCCAGAAGGAAACCATGTGACTCTGGTCCAATTAGTTGTCTTGTGACCTGGAAATAACTAGACTGACCCTCTGCTGTGGGTTGTGGCAATGTCAGAGAAAAAGCAGGAGGGGTGAAAGTTAAGCAGGTGAGAGGACTTACTGTCCCCACAAGGTATGTAGGGCAGGTGAAAGGGTTTGGGGCTGTGAAAAGCTCTCAGGTGTACTTCCTCAGTGCCCTTAGAGCCACTAGAGCTGGAGGCAGAGGAAGAGACCTATGACTCCTAACACTGTCCCCACAACAGGGAAAAAAGGGGTTCCTTTGCAACAACTTTGTAGTATGAGAAGACTGAATGTTTGCTGAATACATTTGGGGGAAAAAAGAGAAGAGATAATTGTCCTAATAAATGTGCAAGAGACAACAGCAGCTCCAGTGGGAGGATTATAAGCTCATTATGGTTTAATATGATGATTGATCACCTCTGCCCGCCAGCATTATCCTAGAATAGTGATGAAGGTCGGAGAGGTCCATGCCAGTCAGAGCTCAAGCTCCAGTCACCAAAAGATAGAAAACATATTTGTACATCACTAAGTGTTTTCATTGTAAAAATTCACACACTCGGCCCCAAGCCCCCAACTTTCCCTATCAGCTGTCCTCCATCCCCCCAGCCTGCCCCAGTTGTCTATGATTTCTCAGTCCTGGACTGTTCGTCCATATGCCTGTTCATCTGCTCTGGCTCCAGACTCCACCCCATTCCCACCCCTTGAGAAAAATGACCACAGCTTCCAGAGTGGCGTGGGTTCAGGGAGGCCCGAAGGGCCCTTCAGTGGGCACTGGCCAGCACTCGGTTCAGGAGGAAGGCCCGAGATACCTCCCGGTAGGCATTTCGAAGCAGGACATAAGGGAAACACGACTCCAGCATGTCTAGGGTCAGGAAGGAGGACTCCTCCACCACCTGAAAAAGAAGAGGCAAGAGATGAGAACCTCAGGCATGGCGTACCTCCATAGCACCCTGTTCCCCTTCATTCAGTCCCCTGGGCCTCTGAGGCCCTCAGAGTTACAAGGAAACAGGGTTCCAAATCACACTCCCCTTCCTCCCCCACTTGGCGTAGCTCTAGGAAAGCAACGTGTCCTCCTCACCTCCCTTATAATGGCCCCTGTCCCCCTCCTCAGGGTTATATGAAGGGCTCAGAAGCAGAAGGCAGGAAAGAATGACTTCCCTTGTGGCAGACAAACTCCCATTTTCTCCCACTCTGGATGCTAAAGCATATGTGGGTGGGCAGCACAGATGCAGGTAAGGATGAATAAAAGTGATAATGACAGAGCTTGGCAGAGAAAGAAACCATTGCCACTGCAGGCCGAGAAAGACGGGCCTAGAATCCACATGGGTCCTCTTGTGCTGGGCCTCAATATCCTCCCTCCCTCAGTACAGTGCTTGTGGAACAGTAAGGATGCCGAATAAAGGAGCAGGCATGATTAATTAGTTTAATTAGAAGCCTGTGTACTGTGGTAGTCTCAGCAGCCACCACAGCCCAGCAGAAAGATAGATCAGGATGCCTGGATAAGACTGGGTCGGGGGCATATTAGCAAAGAGCAGTGCAACCTCGCATTATAAACTAGAGGGTCCCCACCTCTGAGAAAGAAACAGGGTGTATTTCCTTCAGGACTCCTCTCATCAAGAGGTTTGGGACTAAAAGGCACACTCTGGAGAGAAGTGTCCCATATCCTCTGGCAATTTACACAGATGGGCCTCCCCCAATATGGCTGGTGTTTCAAGTCCTGAAAATTCACTCAGAAAAGAGAGCCTACCGTATCCATATCTATTCTAACATGTTTCTCTCTCTGAAGTCCTTTCGGTTTTTAAAATTTGTAACATTCTGCTATTCCCAAACACATACACACACAATACACACAACAGTGCCAGAAAAGCAGACATCGCAGGCTGAAGGGAAGGAAATCTGCCTTTAAAACCGTAGCTCTGATCTAAGGTTGGATAGTGGAAAGAATTCTTCCTAGGCAAGACTTTCAAACCTTAAGCCAGGACAGAGATAAGATCTCTTTTCCTCAATACAACCCTCAGGCACCCTGGGATGAGTGACAGCTTTAAGAAGGGTTCACAGGCCCAAGACTTCCTATTCTTTGCTCCATTAAGCACAGAAAATAACAGGGCTCCTTGCTGGTTCTTAGCAGTGGAAACAGCCGTAGAGTGAAGGCCAAATCTGCCCGTATATTTTGAGGGAAATCTTGAATGTCATCTTTCCCTCTCTGTCCTCGGTTTCCTCACCTATGGATTGTAAGGACTGGACTAACCCCCAGGATCTGGCCTCATTCTGACAAAGATTACATGATTCTTTCCCCTGTGAAATGGAGGGAACTGGCTGGCAATACTGGGGTGGGCACTGCCCAGTCTTGACAGCCAAGACAGAAAGACTCAAGGGACAAAAGTGCCTGGCTAGAACTTGCGGGGGGTGTGGGGGGGCGCTATATCAGTAGCCTCTTAATAATGCAGCTCTTTCCCCTTCGGTCATTTCCAATTTCTCTGTGGAAACATTTGCATTTAAATTGCTTTGCAGCAGCTAGTCCCTCTGTCACTCCAATAAAAAGTGCCTGGTCTTAGCTGTGTTTCAGCCACTCTGCAGGCCTCACTGCAATACTGCAAGGGACAGACACCTCCTCTCACTTTGGGGTTAGTAGGAGAGGGTGAAGCAAAGCAGAAGGAGAAGGTCAGGCAATACAGAATCACCTCCAACCTTACAGAGGTGAAAACTAGGCAAGGAAATGGAGAGGCAAGCCTATCCATCTAGAAACTAAAATGAACAGGAGAGAGAAGGAACTACTAACATTTCTCAAGCATCTGTTACGTACTAGGCACTTTCACATATCTCATGAATCCTAACCACTCTATCATAAGGATTATTGTCCATTGTTACGGATAAATAATCAGAGCCTCACAAAGGTCAATTAACTTGCCGAAGGTCATGATGCTCCAAGAATTGTTCTCCCTCTGGCCACTACTGGCATTTGCCTTCATTTGCCTACTCTGGCCCTCACCCCTCACCACACACACCCCACACACATACTCTCATGTCCATTCTCTTCTTTTCTCCATCATAATCCTTAATCAACTCAACCTAGGCTTTTCTCTAAGAAGAGAAACTAAAACACAGATACCACCCAGTGCCTGTGTAGTTAAAGGAAACCAGGCACACTCCCAGGCATGCCTTCTGCTGACATTTATGGTCCTGAGCCAAGAGTCCAAATGGAAGCCCACATAACATATGACAAAATAAATCAAATAAACTATTATATTCTATATTTCAACCTTCACGATATACTTTTATAATTTTATGGAAGGCCAAGTTTGAATTAAGAATTCTTAGGCCCTTCAGAGATCTGCACCAGGACAGAGGAGCAGGAACCAGCCCCATTTGAAGGGTTTTATATGCATACGTAGACTGCTATCTGCACAGCTAAGCTCCAGCCACGTATTCCTTGGGTAGTAGAGACACATCCACCCGCAGCAGTCTGCCTCAGTAGGGCAGACTTAGGGAAGAAGTTCTGCACAAGCCCCACAAGTAGGCTCGGGCTGCTTAACAGAGTTCTGAGGTCCCAGAAATCTTTAGTGTGGACTTCTAGGTGGAGCACAGCCTCCAGGTGGGCATCTCCCAGTGGCCCAAGGGTGGACCTCTTAAACACAAGGGTCCAGGGCAGGAGACTCTCCTATTCATATCTCAGTACAAACTTGGAGAATGAGAGTTTTAGAGCAAAACAGTGAGTAACTGTGTTGAGGAGAGAAAACAGGATCATGAGGAAAAGATTTTGTTTTTTAATTAACTGAGTCAGAGTTACCAGAAGTTTCTGCCAAAGTAGGAAAAGCCCATAGCTTGGGAAGAAAGGAGACAAAACAGCAGGAGCTGCCTGATGCATGGTTCACCTGGCTCCTTGCCTTACAGCTTTTCATCTAAAATCCCTTCTACCTCTTCCCTGGCTGGTGTGGCTCAGTGGACTGAGCGCCAGCCTGCAAACCAAAAGATTGCTGGTTTGATTCCTAGACTAGGGCACATGCCTGGGTTGCAGGGCCAAGTTCCCCAGTTAGGGGGTGCACAAAAGGCAACCACACACTAATGTTTCTCTCCCTCTCATTCTCCTTCCCTTCTCTCTAAAAGTAAATAAATAAAATCTTTTCAAAAATAAAAATAAAATCCCTTCCTCTCTTGAGCCCTGCTGCCCCCTCCCTCAAGCTCTGTGCTATTCAGCACCCTCTTCATAGTACTCTTAAGGACAAGAAATACAGTGGTAGGAAGTGGTCGCATAAAACCAAGCATGCACTGGACAGGTATGAGGGACACAGCTGCCCCACCAGGTCAGACTCGAGAACATTGCAGGAAAAGGGACCCAGTCACTTAAGGGTCAGGAAAGCCCTGTCCTTCAGAGAAGCCCTCAAAGACTCTACCTTGAGATTACAGGACAAGTCTAGAAAGCTAACCAGGATATGAAGACTAGGCCCAGAGGGTTAGACAAAATTAAGTTTTTAGTTAATGCTTTTTAGTGATGACAATACCAGGAACCAAAAGATCTTAAAGACAGTCTCACTGACATGGCCAGGTGGCTCAGTTGCGGGGGAGCATTGTCTGATACCCCAAAAGGCAGAGGGTTCGATCCTCAGTAGGGGTGAATACGAGAAGCAACCAACTGACGTTTTTCTCTCTCACATTGATGTCTTTCTCCCCCCTTCTCTCTCTCCTTCTTCTCACTCAAATCAATAAACATATCCTCAGGTGAGAATTTTAAAAAAGCCGGGAGTTTCGTTCTGGCTCTCCCTCTCTCTTTCCCCAGAGCAAATTAAATAAGATACATACCAAGCGCATGAGCAGAGAAATGGATTCCCGATTTCTGGTTTTAATCTTGTCAGTCTCCTGGCCCAGCTGCAGGAGGCTGACAGAAGCCACCTGTAAGGGAAGAGTTTATAAGGGAAGCAGATTTTTTTGGAGGTCAGAGTAGGACAGCCTCAGGCTACAGGAAGTTAAAAGATCAAGGAGGAAAGTTAAAAAGTGCTGGGATGTTTCTGGAAATTCAGGGCGGAAAAAGTGGCAAATTCCCTAGGCTTCAGAGACACACATTGCCTGTAAACTAGCCAGTTTGGACAACAGGAGGTTGCCTGGGGTGCTGGGGGAGAGGTTGCAAGGGCGAGGCAAGAACTCAGGACAAAGGCAGGTAGTACTGTAAACCAGGAGATTAATCTCTTTTCCTAGGCAGCCTCCAGACACCACACTTCACCAGGCTGTTTACAGTTGACTCCCCACCCACCCAGAGACATTGCTGGGTCTCTGATTCAGGCACAGTGCTCTTGGTATCCTCCTGCTTTTTTCAAATTTTTTTTCAAACAAACTGGACTTAGCCTACAGTACAATTAGCTGCCTGGTTGCAAGTACCAGTCCCTAGAGATGTAGACCAGTGGCTCTCAAAGTGAGATCCCAGGATGAACAACATCAACATAACCTGGGAACTTAGAAATGCAAATTTTCCAGCCCAGCCTCTAATCTACTGATTTAGAAATTCTCTAGGGAGCTCTGATTTATGCTAAAATTTGAGAATCTGAAAAAAAGTTTGGCTTTTTATCAGTCTTAGAGTTGGAAAGGGCCTTATGGATTATAAAACTCAGTGTCTCTCCAACTTTATTGTGCTTCAGCTCTCCTGGAGATCTTATTAAAAACAGAGGCCTGGACTCACCCTAGGATATTCTAATTCAGTAGAACGGGTATAGGACTGGGAACCTGTATTTGAACAAGCTCTTTGGGATTCTAAGGCACACAAAGATAAGCGAATCATGCATTCAGTTTATTTAATAAATGGAAAGACTGAGGCCCTAAAAGTTTGGCTCTTCAAAGATCATACAAATTCTTAGTGGCAGATCCAGAACTAGAACTCAGATTTTCTGACTCAGTCCAATGCTCTTTCCAAGTATTTGGGCAGAGGCTGACATACTAGCTGTTGGGGAACTTAGAAGAAACTCTTGTCTTTCACAAAGTGGCCTCTCACTACTTATTGAATTAGGTGGGAGGTGAGACTCCAAGTCCTGCTGAACAATGACTGTCTCTAAATTTAAGTCAAACCATTTCTCACCAGACTTTGCAACCTTCCATTTCCTATCACCTAGACCCACTCACCACCAGAAATTCCTTGAGGTGAGTTTCAATGTTCTTGTTGTAGAGTGTGAAGAGGGCAGCAGACACCTGGATGATGGCTTTGGTCAAGCAGTGAATATTGTTGTTGTAACCTATGTTATTATTGGGGGGGGGGGGGGGGGGGGGGGGAGAGAGAGAGAGAGAGAGAGAGAGAAACAAAAAGGAATAACAAAGTGAGTCACTCCAGCCCTGACCAGTATGGTTCAGTTGGTTGAGCATCATCCTGTAAAGCAAACAATCGCTGGTTCAATTCCCAGTTAAGACATATGCCTGGGTTGCAGGCCAGTGTGTAAGAGGCAACCAATTGATATTTCTCACCCTCTCTTTCTCCCTGCATACCCCTCTCTCTAAAAATAAATTTATATATATATATATATATATATATATATATATATATATATATATATATATATATTTAAAGTGAGTCACTCCAGGCTGACCCTAACTGGGAAGTTTTCATTTTTTCAGTCTGGGCCACCCCTATTTAACACCTACAGGATGCATTTGGGGATTAGGAGAAGGTATTCCTATGAAATTTCACTGGAATTTAATTTTATGGATAGCCTTCTCAAGTGTCTTTTGAAATAGAACTTTACACCTGAGTCAGAAGTCTCTATTTTCCAGATAAATAACTGCCTCTATCTCATCTCCTTAACCCAGGACAGTAACCTAAATAGCACTGGTTCCTTGAACCTACTCCTTACTTACCATCCTTCTCAATGCTATAGAAGGAAGAAGGATCTGTGGCAAGGAGTGGGAGGGAAACTGCAAGAAAGATCAAGAGCAGGCAGGCCACCTTATATTCTTCCTCAGGGGATGAAGTATCTGGTAGGAAGGAAAAGAGGAGAAGTAAGGTCAGCTGATAGGAATCATCCTCTACACGGGTCCTATTTCCAGAAGTATGGAGAATCATATGAGAAAATATCTATGAATACACTTTATAAAGCAGTATAGGCAAGTCATTATTGCTGGAGGGGACAGGACTAGCCTCCACTTACAGCGAGGGGCCTGAGTCCTTGGAGGCCTCCTCTGGTGTCTGAGCAGAGCTCTTAGCAAAGAACTCTACTGACAAGCAGTCCGAGAACACTGTCGCCTGCGATGGGGTGGAGAGGCAGGGAAGAAAGGAAAGAATCTCACCAAAACCAAGAGAGAAGAGGGAGGATCAGTCTGGAAATTTTGAAAGGGATTAATAGTGGCCCCTTGGTTTCATCCTCTTCTGAGTATATATAAGTATGAACATGCTAATCAGAGGAAATGTGGAATGGAAAATACGAGAAACAAGTGTGAAAGGTGGGGAAGAAGTGAATAGTGTCATGGTGATTACACGGGAGGGGTGAGCACTAGATCAGTCTGGGGAACTCAGATGCTATACCACACCATTCAGCATGAAATTATGTACTACTGTGTATTGTCCTCTTATTTGCATTCATCTTACTTCCCCAACCAGATTGTAAATTCCTTCAAGCACTTGCTGAGCATCAAACAGACTCACTGAATACTTCTTAGCTAATTGACAGGTCAACTGACTGGATTCTGACTAGAAATCTAAATTGCCTACGTAACAATTGATATTCTGTAGGGGTTAGAGACCACACTTTAGTTCCCAGCTTAAAGCTTCTGAATTCACAATCCCAAACAAAAGACATCTTTGCCATTGGCATTTTCCACCCAGAAATATGGCCCAAGCCTTCCCTTGCCCCCTCTCCCCTACTTTACCAGCTTTCAGATTAGCAATAGCAGCCACCAGGGCTGGGTCAATGTCACAGCCCACTCCTGCAGCAGATGCCAGCTCAAAGATACTCAGGGTCACCTGGTAGAGAAGAAATCAACATTCCGGAGGCGATTCCCAGGAGAGAAGTGCTTGGCAAAGCTATAGTACGTCAGGATTACTAGACCACAGATTTTAAACTTTTGGTGTACTACCACCTTTTCTAGGTATTCCTTTCATAGCTTTCCCTAATCTACAGGGAGGGAAAAAAAAAACCAAATGCTTTAGCTTGGCCATCTCATGAGCCATCGTACAAATTTACTTTCTAAACCTTATTTCCCCAAACACTTCTTACAGTCAATGTAGCCAGGGTAATTTATTTACTCTTCAAATTACAATTTTTTGCCTACTTCCATACTTTGGTTCATATGCTTCCCTCTTCCAGAGTATCCTTTCCCCTCCTCTGCTTTTATCGAGGTAGAACCCATTCCTTGAGACTTACGTCAAATCTCATATTCTCTGTGAAAGCCTGAGTATTTTAACCCAAACCCCATCTCCCTCCTTAAACTGGTACCACTGACTTAGCACTGGTCACGTACAGCACCTGGTAATTTCAGTTGTCTTTTCAGATAGGAGGTGAGACATATATGGCTTATCTCACCAACTAGATCATAATTTTAAAAAAAGAAAGAAAGAAAGAAAACAACGTCATGGCCTGGAGAAGAGAAAAAAGGCTTTGTAGTGAGAAGATTTGGGTTCAGATTCTAACACCACCAATTACTAAATGTGTGACCTTGGTTAAAATTTACTTAACCTTTTTTGGGCCTTAGTGTTCTTATCTGTAAAACTGGGATAATAGTAATTACCTCACAGAATTGTTGTGAAGATTACATTAGACCACGTGTATAAAGCATCTACTTTAGAGACTAAGGGAATAGCTAATAGACAAACATTAATTTGTTATCTCAAAGCTAGAAACTTTACATTTCTCTTTATCCTTTCTAGTTTTTAACACAATGTTAAACATACAGAAGGCACTTGATTAATATTTATTGATTGATACCTGAATCCTTCATTGTTCTTAGAATCAGGTTCCCAGGATGTAGGCCCTAAATCCCCTACTCCCACACCCATTTGTACTTGTATTTCAAGTACTTGTACCCATTTTGAGGTTTAAAAAAAATTTTTTTTAATATTCTGAGAGAACACAGATAATTGTTTCAATAGTAAACAACTAAGTATTTTATGCAAAGATCCCCTCAAACAAAACAATATACACACTTTGCTTATGGTACGCAACACAGAAGGCAAACCTTAGCCACATTCTGCCTTGTCCTTTGTTTAAATTCCCTACTAAGCACCTTGGCTGGTGTGGCTCAGTGGATTAAGTGCTGGCCTACTAAACGGTCACTAGTTTGTTCCCCAGTCAGGGCACATGCCTGGGCTGTGGGCCATGTTCCCAGCAGGGGATGAGTGAGGGGCATCCACACATTGATGTTCTCTTCCTCTCTTTCTCCCTCCCTCCTCCTTCTCTAAAAAATAAATAAAATATTTTTTTTTAAATGAAGGTCAATTCCCTACTAACTAGATGACCCTGCTCTTGGCAGCCATGGCTTAGGAGATCAGGGACCTGGTCTGTGACCTGTGGTTTTCTGGATGAAGAAAGGGTTGATTGAAGGGGTCTTATTTTTCTCTCCTCCTAATTTTTACCCCTCTGAAGCAGTGGCAGAATCTCTGATGGACAGGTTATCCACCTCTCCACCTCCACCTGCTTGTTTTCACAAGCAAGCAGAGCCTAAAGCCCAGAGCTGTCCAGGAGACATCAGCTAGACAAGCTCATGACACACTAGAGCATTCTACCTCAACATCAGCAGCTGCCAGAAATCCAGGCTCACTGTAAAACTGTAAAATCAAAGATCACTCGAAAGGGGCAGCCATCCAGTGAAACATCCCCTGCTCAAGGCCTCCATGACCATTTGACCCTTATCTGATTTTACACAGACAGAGGGGGATAGTTCTCAACTCTTTTGATCTGGAGGTAAGGATGCTTTTCTTAACATCTGACTTTAATTCTTCCTGCTAACCAGTTTCCTCTTATCACTGTCCTCCCTCTGTTAAAAGAATCAACAAGAGAAGTAGCCTTCTCTGTGCATTTGAAGGCCCTTGTTTCCAACCTTCAGCTGCATTTCCTGCATAACATATTTGTTCCAGGCAATTCAAAAGACAAGATAATGCGAAGTAGGGGAAAAGAGGGGAAAGGGATGTTTAACTTGCAGTGTCTAGAGAAGCCCCTCTTTCTTTCACCATGTCTGTAGTGAATGGGGCCTGAGGCAGGTGACACAGATAGAGGAATCAGAAAGTTTCAGAATTAGGAGGAAAAAGGCCAGAAAAGGAAAGGAAACTGACAGCAAGCTGTGGGGGAGGGGCAGGAGGGAGAGGTGGAAGGAACAAACCTAAGCTCCTGGCTACACTGAGAACTTGTGTGTACATACGAAGGGAAAACCCGCAGATACTGTCCTAGAGCTTTCCCCTCTTCCTCCTGCAATCTTTCCTCAGCCCGACAGGCTCTCCCGGGCTCCCACGTCTCTCCTCCCCCCCGCCTCTGCCCGTCTCCCCAGTTCTGCCCTCTCTTTCCAAGAATATTTGTCTGAACAATGTCCCTCTCTTCATAAAATCTCCCCCAGTGTTTTCCTATTCTAAGCCTGGTTCTTCTCCCTACAGTATTCTTCAGAGCTCTCTCTCTCTTTCAAGGTCCTAGCTACATCCTTTTTCAACAACAAATCTCCTAATTGGATTCCACTTTGTACTCCCCTTTACCTTGATGTCTGTGTCTGGAGTGACAAACTCCTTCAGGCACTCTATGGGACCCATTAGAAATGGGCAGTGGGAGGAGAAAACCTGGAGGGAAGAGAAGATAAATGAATCCACAGGACAGTGGCCAGTGCCTTCAAAAATAAGTGAACACAAACAAAAAAAAAGGGCCTCTGCTTAAATAAGAGCATCAGCTTAAATAAGCTTCCCACCCATCCTCTCATGAATCTTGGTTCACTCAGCTCATCGATCCCTAGAGGTGTTCCAGGACCTCTACTAAATTAAGCTCCTTTTCCCTCAAAGCTCACCAACCCTTTCCACAACTTCTCATCCAAGCTGTATCCACAGAGGTGTCCGTGTTTCTGTGGCAGCCCTCTCTCCTGCTACTCACCTCCCTAAGTCCCTCTTGGGCCATAGCCCTAAAACTGAGGATAACTCCAATGATGGTCATGCGCTTTAGCACATTATCAGCCCCTGAGGAGAGAGAAGAGTGTTAGAGAAAAGAACTTGGGAGAATAGCAATGGTTTTGCTTCGTCAGACCCAGCCTAGCCCCAGATTCCCCAAAACCCCTATCATCCACAGTTCTTTTCCCACATTTCTTTCTCCCTTCAGGGGAAGTGCTCACCCGTCAGCTGTGGCAGCAGAGAAGCCATCAAGTCGGCCTTGCTGAAGTTAGACCGGATCTGAACAAGCACATCCATGTTCTCCACCACCAACTTCTGCAGACAGGACACAGAAAGATTCAGCAGGAAAAGACAAGCCCCACGGTACATCTTCCGTACAACATGCTACTCCTAATCCTCTTCCCCTGAGGCTAAACTTTTCACCGGGGCTTGCTTCCACAGTACCTTCAGCTCCACAATCTGAGAGGTCACATGCCACATCAGGTTTTCGCTCAGGAACTTCATGCCATAGGGGCCCAAGAGTTCAGCCAAGGCCCGCATCTCTGGAATAGAGTTAACAGACTTCCCAGGTCGGACTCAGAAGGTACTGGAGCATTTGCATAATGGCTATAGGGTAATTTGAACATTTAAAATGTTTTTCCTCGAGGAAAGGAAGGGGAAGTTGAGGAGCAAAAGTGACCTGATACCCTGCATTCAGGTGATAGGTCTGGCCTGCCCGGGGGACAGTTTACCCTCTCCCCATCGGTACTCACACCGAGAATTACCACAAATGATAACTATTTACTTTACATTCTTATAAGAATTTATACTTTTTCTCAAGTCCCTAAATGTGGTACCTGGGTTTCACTCTTGCCAGACCAGCCACTGTAGTTTTCCTAGATATAAGCCCTAAAACAAGTCACTGACCCTCTCTGAGCCTAGTTTATTTTTCTGTAAAAGGAAGAAAGTAATGTCTGCCCTGAACACCTCACAGAGTTGATATGAGAATAGATACATTTTAAAAACCTTAGAACATTATAAAATTGTGTGTGTGTGTGTGTGTGTGTGTGATTCATATGTAATTTAACAAACAAGGATGGGTTAAGTGCTTGTTCAAGGTCACTTAACCAAGTCAAGAGCTGTACCAGAAACCTAACACAATGCCTTACTGCCCCTTCCTGTGTCCCAGCAGATACCACAACTAGTTTCTTACCTAAGGTCTGGCTTTTCTATGTTCCTCCCTCCACTTCCCTTATTTAACACCTCACTGTCCAAGTTTTCCTCTCCTTAAGCTACCTTTTCTTTTTTCATAATCAACCTACATCCCCAGAATTCTAATTGTTTTTTCTCCTAACTTCTTCAGTTCTTTAGTCTACCCCAATGCTTTATCCCTCCCTACCCAGCCTTCTTCTGGCCTTTTGTGAATCAAATAAAGCTGCCCGGGGAAATCCCATGTTAGAAACACCAGTGACAGATTCAGACAGGGAGAGCTATAGCTACCATCTTTGGGTATGGGCTATCCCAGCAAAGAAAAGCACAAAATACCAGAAGTAACAACAAGAGACCAGTATAAAAAAGGTGAGTGTACCATAGTTAATGTAAGTCCAGAGGAAAGAGAAAATAAAGGCTCCACGCTCCAGTCTTTGAAAGCAGGGCCAGTTGACCTACACCTCCATGAATGGCTGAGGACGTGGAACTGGTCACAGCAGCTGACTCAGAGCCTTATCCAGAGCAAGTACATTTTTAGAGTCACCTATTTACAGTAGGAAAATTAAGCTGACAACTGGAAAAGGATTTCCTAACCAGTCAATTTAGATAATGCTAAAACGGCTGACAAAGGGGGAGAGGGGCTGAATTTCCTTCTCTGGAGTGGATGGAGAAGAGACACACTGATCTGTCAAGCCTCTTTACTCTAGTCTTCTCTACTCAAGGCTAGTAACCCTAGGGCCTCCTCCTCTTTCCATCTATCTATTTTTGGAGTAGTATTGTCCCATTACCATGGTAACCCAGGGAAATTGGGGTGGGGGTGGTAGAAGGGGGAATCAGCATTACCTCCTGCTGCTTGTCAGTTGTCAGCAAGACCTAAAGCTGATTTTAGATGCTGCCTACAGTTTGTGGGTGGATTGATGAGAAGGGGACATCTGAAACCTCCAGCAGATGAAGAGTAGGGTCAGCTTACTGATGGAGTCAGAATGAGCATGGGAAGAAAACAGAGCTGGAAAAGAGAACTGCATACTCTGACTTTCGTAACACCTCCAAGAAAGGGGCAGGATGGAGAGAGCAGGTCACTGAAACATCTCCTACCTGTCCCAGACACCATGTAGGAGCCATGATTTATATGGAGGTGACAGGAAGGAGGAAGCAGTAGGAGAGTTCATCAGTCTATAAAACAAATCTATGAAAAAGGAGCCCTGGCTGGTGTGTCTCAGTGGATTGAGTGCCGGCTGGATCAGCAGTTCAATTCCCAGTCAGGGCACCACAGGCCTGGGTTATGGGCCAGGTCCCCAGTAGGGGGCACATGAGAGGCAAGCACACATTGATGTTTCTCTCCCTCTCTTTCTTCCTCCCTTCCCCCCTCTCAAAAAATAAATAAATAAAATCTTTTAAAAAAAGGAAAGAAAAAGGATCTGTATGGCTTAAAGCACTCTTTAAAAAGAGAATGATTTCCTAACTCATTTACTACACACTTATTACCTGGACTCCCTTGAAACAAAAAAGCACTTCTGTACACTGGGAAGCAGCACTACATAGTGATTAAGCACCTGGGTTCTGAAATTTGACTGTCTTGGGTTGAAATCCCAGTTTTACCATTTATAAATGTGTGGCTTTAAGTGAGCTCCTTAACCTCTCTCTGTCTCAATATTCTCATCTGTAAAATGGGGGTAATAAGAGTATCTACCTGAAGGCTCTTGTGAGGATTAAATGAGTTTATACATGAGAACATTGATAACTTAGACCACAACAAATTCTATCCATTATTTCATCATAATTATTAAACATCAGTAATCTAATCACTGGTTAAGGCTCTAAAATGTATCCCTAAGAAAGAAGATCATAACATCAGACCAAGGTTTAATAATTCCAAGCATGAGAATGTTCTCCTTACATTTATCTTTTACCCTTCATCATATATCCTACTGTTTTATTCTTTGCAGAGATGAAAAGTAACCATTTATTATCTGTCAAACAATAAATCCTTTCAGGGACTTGAATACCCCTGCCCAACTCCTAACACCCCTCATTTCCCCATTTTCCCTCTCCACCTTCAACCCCCAGGCCACTCCTCAATTCTCAGTGTTGCTTAGAATTGCTTAGAATCTTTTCTTTTTCCTTTTTTCTTTTCTTTTTTTTTTTTTTTTTGGTTTTGTTTGTTTGTTTGTTTGTTTTTGTCCCTAAAGTGGAATCTAGCAGAGTAGTTAAGAATAGTGTAGAATGAGCTTCTGGGTAGGTAAGAGAATTTATTAGATAGAGACCATAGGCTGAGATACTGTATTGAAAGGAAAGGCTTAGCTCCTTGATGAGGCGACGATGCCCTGGGCTCACCAGAGATGTCAGAGAACTCCTCTGCTCTGAAGTGTTGCTCCTCCTCTCTGGGGAGGCTGACGAAGGCCTGCATGGATGGGGAGAAGATGATGGCCCCACTGCTCGCCTGTCTAAGCAGACTTTCTAGGTACCTACAGGTTGGCCAAGAAAACACAGAAAATTAGTGTTTAATCCTTTCTCCCTACCATTGCATCCTACCGCTACCACTGGGTGCAGAAAGTGAAACTCCACCAAAGGCTGGGGTGGAGAGAAGAGACTCAAAGAAGACAGTAAAACACCCTAATTCACACCCCAAACCTTGGCTCAAAAACAGGTGGCAGTAATGTAATTCCACTTCACCTCTAACCTGCAGGGCTGTCAAATTCAAATACAAGGGTGTGCTCTCCCCTCCCTCAGCCTTTGCTTTTTTCCAACTACTGCACTTGGCCTTTCTCTGTCAGGTAAGGTAAGCCCAAGGTGACAGGGAAAAAGTTCATACTAATTAGACTCTTCTGAAATATACCTAGCCTTAACCTCCCTAATGAGAATGCTGGACTGGTGATCTTGGAAGTGGGTCTCAAGTGAAACCTCCTGGACAGAGAGAAGCCCCAGGAACACTAGCCATCCAGTCTCCAAATACTCCCTCCTGACCTCTTGGCAAGCTGAGAAGCCCTCCAGCCAAGTGTCAGTAGAGGAGGACTTAGCCAACCCCTGCCGCTCACCCAGGCACTAGCTCTGGGCTTAGATTTTACTGAAGTCTCAAACTAGCCACTAGAGGTGATTTTTTTTTTCTTTTAATTTGAATTAGTTGTTCAAAAGTTTGAAACTGAGAGATGTTACATTAAAACTAAGGATTTAGTAGGGCAGCAAGCAAGATGAGCTAAGTAACGGCTGCCCTCTTTAAAGAGGCACGCCCTTCCCAACTACCCAAAGTTCCCACCTAGCCCACAGCACCCAGGTCCCTTATCTCTTGGGTCCCTGTTGGTATTTGCATTGGCAAATCTTGTCTGTTTTTCCCCCTGCTCAGGGAGTTCTTTGCAGCATGTTTCCTGCTGAGCTGATACTGGATTAAGAGCACCACCCAGTGGCCTGGGGGAGTAGAAATCTGGCTCTTTTCCAACCTTAAATTTTAAAAGAAATATTGCTCCTATGTCCTTTGATTTGGGGGAGGAGGGCCTCTTACTATTAAGAACAACCTACTAGATAAATGGTCATGTCTGGGGTTGAAGAGATGGTGTTCCTGAGAGTAATGTTAGAATGGTTTTCAGAGAAGCTGGGTGAAAAGAGAAACAAGAGAACTTCAAAAAGTAGAAGAGACATCACTGGAAATTAAAACAGAATCCAGAAAAGGAAGGTTGCGAACTAGAAATTAAGAGGAAAACTGTCAAACTGCTACAGAGTAGCTCAATGGGTGTTATAGAGAAGATTAGAAAGAAACCTCAAGGTGTACAGAAGGTGCCCCAGCTTATTGCTCCAGTCCTCAAGCAGAAATAAGCCCTCATTTGAGGGTCTGTAACCCTGGGAGCTAAAATGCCTGGACCTGAATCCTGCTGTGTTAAGGAAAAAATATGAACAAAGAGGTAAGACAGAATGAAGATAAACAACACTGACCAATTTGTGTAGAGAGTTGTGATAGTCTGTTCCCCACTCGAGTCCAGTGGCTGTGTCTGTTGCAAGAGGGCACTGCGGATGACTCTGGAAACATCTGTACCCAAAAACTGAGCCAGCGACTGTATGAAACTGATGTATGCTTTGACTCCGGCCAATAGCTCTGAAGGCCTTGCAATCTCCTGGGTCGTGGCGTTGTAGCCAGCCAGCCACACAATGGCTCTGGGTGACAAAAATCATAATTAAAACCATAATGGTAAACTTAATAACAGTTATCACATTTACACCGTGTTCCCGAGGCTGTGCTATGATTTTACTACATGCATTATTTTATTTAAATCTCATAGCAACCCCAAACCATAGGTGCAATTATTAACCCCATTTTACAGATGAAGAAACTGAGAAACAGAGAGAGTAAGTCACTAATTTTCTGTGAAAACCACATAGCTGGCAATTGGCAGAGCTGGGACTTGAATCCAATAACATTTGATTCCTAACCACTATGCTCTTCTGCCTCCTCTGGAGAAATTAGGTCAGGTGGTAAAAGGCCTGGGCTCCCAAATGTCATCTAATTCTACCTGAGGGTTCATACCACTGCATTCTCAGGGCCAGTATTTTGTCTTTACTCCTTGGAAAGAATTAGTTCCAACCACTGTCAGAAATAGAAAATCACACCTAGGAATCCTTGGAAGTGCAACGCAATCCCTAGGGGCCATGGAATGCCAGAGCAGAAGGAAGAGCACACTTGGCTGGCATGCAGCTATAGCCAACCCTAGAGAAGACAGGATAACTGTTCACACTGAACAGCAGGTCCTTGGATAGCAACTTTTCATTGTAACATTGATCTTTTCATTTAACATTGATGAGATGTCATAGGAACTTAACTCATTTTTATACAGTAAAATTGGTTTTCTTATATGTTGTTTCACTTGAAGCCACAGAACCTATCAACTATGTTAAATGAGGACTTACTGTGTTATTTTAGAGGCACACAGAAACACCCCTTCCCACTGTACCCCCATTTCCTTCCAAAATATCTTCCCAAGGAACCTGAGAATTCAGAGTCAGTCCTCTGACTTAAGGCTTTTTTTCTTGTTAAAAGGTAGGGGGAAGAGAAACATCCCACTTGGCCAAAGCCTTTGTCAGTCATTTGCACCTCATTAGGAATGAATTAATCAGTCTTCCTAAAACCACAGATGTTTGGGGAGCTTTGTGTTTTTGTTTTGGACAAAACATTAATAGCAAGGGAGAGGAAGGAAACAGACAGGCCTGCTCCCCAGAGGAAGAAGAGAAGAGAAACCACTTGAGGGAAAATAATACAGAAGGGACAGACCGAGGGTAGGCCTAGTCTATTTTAGAATTTTCATTGATGCCAAACCTCCGGGCCATCATTGGGGCTTTAGAAACAATGATGCTAGTGAATAAAGTATTAGAGATATTCAGGGGAAACTAGAATATCACCCCCATGCTGCTCCAAGGCCTAGAAGCCACTGCCAGCTTCTGAAGGTTTATATACATGGATAATTATCAACTTATCTTCTTGATGGTGTCTATGCACCCGAGATACTTCTTTCCATATAGCTAGTGTAGAGAATGAAAACAAACTAAATTTACTGTTACACAAGCAAAAACCTAATTGAAAAATAAATGTGCATCTCCTACAATGAAAACACAGACTCCTAACTATTCTCCCTGCTTCTGTCTCTGAGCTCTCAGTGCAGCCAGAGTGATCCTATTGAAATATGGAGTGAAATCTTGTACTGCTCTGCTCAAACCCTGCAAGGCTCCCCATCTAACTCAGAATAAAAGCCAAAGTCCTTAAAATGACACAGGAGCATCTGGACAGTATTTCCCTCCTGCAATCTCTCTAACCTCTTGTCCTACCAGTCTTCCTCTAGTTCATTCTACTCCACCTCACTGGTCTCCTCCATGTCCCCTGAATGTACCAGGCAAGCTTCCACCTCAGAGTCTTTGCACTTGCTGTTTCCTCTGCCTAGACTGTTCTTTCCCTAGTCACATGCTTGGCTTCCTCACTTCCTTCAGGGGTTTACTGAAATGTCGCTTTCCTAAGCAGGCCTTTCCTGGCCACTCTATGTAAAACTGCAACATACCAACATACACACGCGCGCGCGCGCGCGCACACACACACACACACACCCCATCTCCCTTTCCTGCCTTTTTTTTTTGATTAGCACTCATCATTATATAATCCAGCATATATTCTACTTTATTTTGTTCATCTATCTCCCTCACTAAAAGGTGAACTTATGGGATCAGGGAATTTTATGTTTCATATACTGCTGTATTAATAGCCTTCTAACAGAGCAATGCTGACACACACAGATTGTTCAATAAATACTTTTTGGATGAATTAGTGAATATACTACATATTCCCAAATAAAACATAGAAGACTAGGAATTATTCACAATAATTCATCCCTTCATTCCCCTAATTTTGGACTATAGTACCCAATTCCAATATAAGGAATGTTCCTCCTACTTTGGGGGAACAATGGAATGAGGGTTAAAGTGAAGGAAAGAGAATCTATTTTTATGGAGGCCTATTATACATATACATGTCAGGAACTTGGCACTCATTTTAATCTTTAAGTATCTACCAATTCTCAGTTACATGTAATTCTCAATTACCTATCTATAAGGTAAATGTCATTGTCCTTATTCTACAGGGTAAGAAACTAAGGCCCAAACAAGTTGAATAACATACTCGAGTATTTTAGCAAATGTCCAGGATCTTGTACAGTTCTGCTGACCGCAAAGGCTCCACTCATTCTACTAAACCAGTAGTGATCAACTCTGGTTGTTCATCAAAACCACCTGTAGAGGTTTGGGGTTCTTTTTTATTTGCTTTTAATAGAGATGCTTGAGAACCTATGCCAGATTGATGACATCAGGATCTCCAGGGCATAGTATGACTGCCAAGATGAATCTAATGGAACCCAACTCTGACAATGACCATACTATACAAACATAGAAAACAAAGAGAGAGTGATACCTGTTGAGCCTGGCCTCCAGATGGCTGCTGAGATACTCAGAAGGGAAGATAGTGTGTTCAAATACAGAGAAGCTGTATACATGATTCATTGTCAGTGCCAATTCTGTCAAGTGTACATGTAGCTTGTCCATGCTGCATAAAATTGAGAAAGTAAAATGAGCCTTGACTATGGGTCTGGCACTGCCTGCTATTATCTGGAAAGGATGTGTTGGGCCATGACCTTCAGACCCCTTTCATGTTCTAGGAACACTCGGCCTAGAACAGTATACATGGAGACTGACTACAAAGGCAAAGTAGAAAATTCACATGTAAGTGCTTTCCTATATTTGTCATTCCCCACCACCACTTCTGCATTCTTTTGCTATATCACATTCCCACACCCTTATACTCTTTTCTTTGATGCAGTGCCCAGTTAGCCCTCTAGGGCCCAGACTCTCACTTGGTGACAATGCTGCGATTCTTCCGGTGACTTTCTGTTCCTGGCTTGTCCCTCTCAGGTTCTCCTTTTTTGGGAGGCTGCCTCTGCTTCATGGTTTTCTTGTTCTTGGCCTTGCTGATAGTAGTGGCACAGTGCTTAGGCAGAAGCTTTGGAAACAAAGACCCATGAATGGCGAAATGAGATTAGTTCTTAAAATTGCCAAGTAGCCCATATAACAGTAGCCCATGATTGTCTGTCCTTTTATCTTTCTGCCTTTCTCTCTTTCCTTCTAGCATCTCTTTCTCTAATGGGAGCCTATTTTCAAAGTGCTCACCTCTTTTAGTTTTTATTAAATATCTCTTTATGTTTAGGCTCAAAGTCTCAATATGGCAGTGTCTTTCAGGGATCAGATCACCAATCCCCCACCCACATCCTGAAAGACGGTCTCTCCTAGTGGAAAAATTCAAGTAAAAAGAATACAATCTAAGAGCTCCACTCAACTGCACTTACTAAGATCTTCCAACCTGAAAAACAGTTGTGTTTTGCTGGCATAGAACAACCATCTCACCTGCTGCATTCCTTCATACTCTGCCTGGTGGGGACAGTTACCCACACTGCCGCAGCCCACCAAAGACTCAGAGATCACAATGTGGCTGGCTCTCTCTACTACTTTTGTTTGTTTTTTAAAAATAAGATATCATATTTTTCTTGCTAGCTAGTTTAAACATCAATTCTGCATCTCTTCTCTTCCCCCCAGATACCCCAGTTAGCCTTACAGAAAATCTAAAGTAGACCTTACATATTCAGGTATGTCCTTCAAGGTAATCACCTCAGAATTCTCTCCTTTTAGTCACATGCTGTTGAGCATGTACAGAGAGCATGTCTGGAAACTCCTCATTTGGAATTACTTTTAGAGAAGCATAAGAGCCATGAGAAAACTCGTTTTGTTACTTTATAATCACACTTTGTTTTTTTAAGTCCAAACTCTTACTGTTTCAGAAAAAATCAGATCTATGTTGACGGATAAAGATGTTTCAACCTTGTAATTATGAGAAAGTGTCTGTCTTTGATTCTGAGAGTAATGCCAAAAAATGTAATTCCATTAGTAATGGGAACATCACTAATTATTTATTCAAAATGATAACTTTCATTTCAGTATTCATTTGATTGCAAAAATTCCGGTGTGTGTGAAAACAATTGCTCACATGTTTTAGTCATCCCTGACTCAGAACTGAGCAAAACTGTGTCCATTGCATGTAGTAAGTAGATACCCAAATTGAATGATGAATATATCCATATATGTACTTTCTTGCACTAATTATTTATCTTTTAAACGTGTTTTTACTCCCTTTTTCCTTAAACTGGGACATTCCCCTAGGGCAGGGATTGTGTACTTTCCTTCCAAAATCCACCTTAGTACCCAGTAAGTACCAAATAATCTAACAACTAATATCGTTTGAGAGTTGTATACCAAATACATAACATATATTACTTCATTTAATCTTTATGATACCTCTATGAAGAAACTATTTGTATCCCCATTTTACAAATGAGAAATTGAAAGGTTACATAATAATATAACTGCACATAGGTACATACACATGCACACACACACAACCTGACTCGTCTTCTGCCAAAGTTGCCTCAAAGCCTAACTCAAATTCAGGAAGGAGTGAGTAGTCTGGGCAACCTAAAAGACTCCAGGGCAACAGTGGAACAAGCTCCTCATTTTCAAATTTTCTGAAATGTAGGTTGAGCTAATCAAGACCAGGTGCTGTGAGTCAGTCAAGGGAGGGATGGGGAGGGGGAAACAAGCAGACAAAAACAAGAAAGCAGCCCTGAGGATAAAGACAGAGGAGGTGTCTAAAAATGTTCAGACAGCCACAGATTAGGGTGCAGATAGACAGAAAGGTGAGTCAAGACAGATGATCTGGGATCACTGTCCAAGTATATGTGCATAGGGCAGAGAGAAGAGGAGAAGTAAATAAGAAAGTTAACTCATCTCTCAGAATTCTTCAAGTGACAGCACAGATTTTGTTGGAGTGCAGCTGTTCAAATAAGTATTTTTAGATACCTCTATCTAGTCCTAAGAGAGTAAAGACTTAAGGGACTACACAAAGCAAAGAATCCTGCCATACACTCAAGTACACAAAAGCTCTAGCCCTACTTAAGAGAAAGTGTCTAAAGAACTTGACAGTTGAGAGGAAGACGAAGGTAGGTAGATGAAAAGGCACAGAGGGATGGCAACAGAGAAAGTTAAATAGAGCGAGGACTGAAACTACCTGTTCACTCAAGTTTCGCTGCTCAGCGCAGATCTCCAGGACACAGTTACTGGTCTGCTTGGCCAACTCTTCCAGGAAGGAGTTGCAATGATGAAGACTGTGGTTCTTCAGGTGGGGGTACTTTGGGAAAGAGGAACCACAGAAAAAATTATCATCACCAAGACAGCCACTTCTTCCTCATAATACTGTTCCGCTTCTCTGGCCTGAGCTATCCACTCCTTGTACAGAAAAAGAACCTAAGACCCAGGGAAAGGACATAATCCACATAAAGCTGTGACACTGAGGGACTCATATTACATACCTATGTTTGTGCCCTTTTTTGGACCAAAATTAACCCTTGGAATTGTGTGTTGAGGGAATATGAATGAGCTATTATTAGAGAGGCGACAGGATTTGGAGTTCAGGGTACCTACCTCTTCTGGGCACATCTCATGAGTGCAGTGAACAAAATGAGCACAAATCAGGGGGAAGGCAATGGCATAACGCAACATTGTGGGTTCCTCCAGGGTCATAGTGAACATCTTCTCAAAGGTACGCAAGTGAAAGCTGCAGAGAAAGGGGAAGTAAACTTAAAACCAGAGTTTAGGATCTGGTCACTTTGAAGCGGAGAAAATATTCATTCTTTCAACAAATATTTGTTGATATTCAGCACTCCATTCACAATTTTCCTACCCTTAAGGTAGACAGGAACTCAAGAAACTTAACTCTTTTATACTTCTTCCCTTTTGTTGTACAAAATTTGCTATTCCTCCCTCAGAACCTCTGCATGATTTGGGCCATTCCCCTTAATTTAGAATATTTCAGTACTACTAATTCACATTATTCCCACAGTTGGACACTCAGGCTCCAGAAAATTTTCTCAGATTAATTCCACAAGACTGATCTTTCCTCAGCCCTACATCCTCTCAACATCATGCACTCTTTTTATACTCTCTTACATTTGCAAGTATTATGTTGATGTCCCTGTCACACATGGGTGTTTTCTCTCCCCATCTATTAAATGTAGAGAGCAGAGACAACATACTGTGTCATTTGTTATGAACAACAGTAGTCACATAATAAATGCTGAATGATACTAGGGAAGACAAGCTAATTTTTATTATCTAAAGGCCCTATTCTCCAGCCCTCTAGATTATTTTCAGTTCTCCCCACTAAACCCCCAAGTTTTGCATATCTCTTCTAAATCACAATGTCCCAAGAATAAAAGCATTCCAAAGATAACAGTAAGGAAAAAGATATATTGATTAATTATCCCAGAAAAAGGAGGGCTGTGTAAAATCCAAATGGTATTCCTAAGGAAAACCAGAAAAAAAGGGAATCACCTCACATTCCTATAACTTAGTAGAAGCTGGAATGAGTGAGCAGTAAAGTTTGAGCATCTATCTTTAAGGAGATCTCAAAGAAAACAAGACATTTTCATCAGCCTGGGCCAATTACAGTCCTCCACAGATGCCATGCAAGAGATCGGGTAAACTGATAAAGAGCTCTGAATCAGGACATACCAGAAAGTAGACAAGTCAGAAGTTTCCACCAGCATTTTCTCTACTGAGTCCAGCATTCGGGAGTGAAAGACAATGAGGTTCATCACCTTGGCTAAGTCAGGGTTCTCATACAGGTGCAGGGGAGCCTTAGCCACACTGGTGTATGCCTATGGTTGGAGTTGGGAAAAGAGTGAAGAAAGAGAAGATACAGTTAAAAAAAAAAAGCCATAGGGCTACAGTTTGGCTGTGGTTTTTCCTGTCCAATTAACAGTTTTCAATGTTGAATCGCTCCATACAGCAGAGCTTAGGAGATAAAGAGAGAAGGGATTGTTGGGGAGGAAAAACCTGAGAATGGGGACCATTAACAGGAACAGACTTACCTGTAGACGGAACCAGTCCAGCCTCAATCCAGAGAATTCAAATTTCTCTCCATTATCAACTGCAAGAAAAACAGAAGTTTAAAAGGAAATAATAAAGCAGCTCTCTATACCCAACTGCATAGAATGGTAGATACTCTTCAGGTCATCTTGTCCCATTCTCTGGCAAGAGAAACATCAATATTTCGGGCGGGGGGCAGATCTTCACCCTCACAGACACCCTGCCTCCTCCACTTCCCTTCAGTTACCTTGTTTGAGATTCAAGGAAGAGAGAGTACTGACGAATGAGGACATGATAATGGACTCTTCCTCAGGACACACAGACAGGTTCTAAAAAAGAAGTTGGAGTTACTACCAAGTGGGCATAGGTTTTACCAGGATAGAAATGAGGACCACAAGGTTCAGTCAGTGTATGAAGGTAGAAAGAATTGCTAATGCCACAAAAAGGTAGAAAGAGCCAAGCAAAAAATTGAAGAAATTTCCTGGCTTCCCTGCCATGCTAACACCTAATTTCTCTTTATTTTTCTCTCCTATTTCTCTGTAGCTTCACCTTGGGCCTTGGGAGAGGACTGCTGAGATAATTAGCTGTTTTTTCTTTTAACAAATGTAATGGGGGAAATTGGGCTTTTTGAGATTCAGCCAGAGTATTCCCGAAGGGAAATGACCAGAGACCACGCTAAAATTTCCAAACTATAATCAATTAAACGTACTTGAATGATGTCACTGAGCACAAGAGCGTCAAATCTGGCCAGGTACTGAAGGTGGTATTGCTGTATCACTTTGATGTGTCTTCGGACCAGAGCCCTAATCTCCTCCAACAAGAAAAGCAGTTCTGCAATGTTCCTACAAAGTCGATGATGAAAACAGAGAGATGTATGATACTAGAAATATGAACTGAGACAGAAGACAATGGTAAAAAGGCAGAAATTGAGACCTTCTAAGCTTATTTGATGCCTCCCTTTCCCTTTTCCCAATCCATCTAAAGTCAAGATTTTTTAACCAGGTCAAGTACTAACGAGTCAGTGTAGTCCTCAGGTGTCTTTGTCTTGGTGATATTTTCTGAGTGGCGAACCAGCCAGGTGACCTCATCACGAATGAAGGACATGGCCATGAAAGCATAAAGAGCCTAAGGAGAGGAGAGGGACTATGAGAATTTTCAGCTTTACAAATGGATTTTAAAGCATAGACAAAGCTATCATGATAATATGTATATGGACACAATTGTGTAACCAACAATAGTATCCAATAAACACAGAAACCCACAAAAAAACTGTGACACAAAATAAGACATGTTCATATATTGACATTAGCTCACAGTCAATCCTTTTTCCTCCCTATCAAATTAAGTTTTAGAAATATTTACTAGGCATTGATGTTGTTTAAAAAAGTAAGCTCTGTCTTCAATTAGTGTACACTCAAATAGGGGATAAGTACACAAATAGCTAAAATACATGATATGTTATGATAGTACCAAAAAAAGAGATACAAGAAGTTTGGGGTACTGCAAGGAGATTCAAAGGAATTAGTATATACATATACAAATAGATATTAGAAGGCTCAAAAAGGCAAAAACTCATGAATGCCAAGTCACTCCCCAAATAGAATCTCTTATCATCACCATCCTTCCAACATTTCTTTCTCTTACCTTGGGACCCAGTAGTCCTGGTTCATCAGTTAACACAGTCCCCAGCTCCTTCACTGCCATCCGTAGAAACTGGCGTCTTTGACAGTGAAACTGGCCACTGGGAAAAAAAAAAAAAAGTGAAGGTGACAACATGACCTCTCCCACCCTTAAAAATCTTTCAAAGGCAGCACAGAAAATAGCTGCATTTAGGAAGGGGTGTTATAGTCAGAGGAAGATTCAATGCTATAGTTAGACTTTGTAAGAAAACACAAGAATCTGGAGAGGAGCAGCAAATTATTGGGTTGAGACAGTAAGGCTGTACAGAAACAGAGGGTGGCTTAGGTAAGAACAAAGGTTAGGAGAGATTCCTATTCCATCCCCTCTTGGAGAACCCATTCCCCACCTTTACCTGTTTGCAATTGCATGTTCCTTGCTTTCTTTTATGTCTGCCACTCGCTTGCCATACCTGAGGATTGACATAAACAGCAAGGTTGGCCATATCTCTGGTTAGAGGCCTTGTCCCACTTACCCAGTCCTCAGAGATTCCAAACTACAGCCTCGGGGGCATGGACAGCCCTCATTATCAGGATTTTTCAAAACCCTACTTTCACCCTGGCCTATTAATAAGAGACTCATAGACCTTAGAGATGATTCAGTTTCCATTATTTTAAAGATGAAGAAAATCATACCTAGGGGGAAATGAGTTGCCCAAGGTCAAATAGAGTTTTAGTGGCAAAGCTGGAAGTCGACTTCTTGTCCTATGCTCCTGCCTTGACAACTTCAACCCAAAGTACTCTTCCAGATTTGAGGAAGATAAAAACAGCAGTACATAAATATGACACAGACCCTACTCTGAAGTAAAAGAGTTACTCCAGCTCTACCTTGGGTCCCCTTCTCACCCCCCACCTCTTAGAATTTAACTTTATCACTTATCCCTCTGTCATTTACATCTCTCCCTCTGTCATTTACATCTCTCCCTCTGTACTGGCTTATTCTCTTCTCCCAAAAAATAAATTCAAAGCCTCCCTTATTCTAAAAAGATCTTTGCTTGACCATGACAATCTGCTAAACTTTAGCCGTTCTACACCACCAAACTCCTTTGAAGAGATACCTATGCCCTTTTACTTCTTCACTTTTCACTGATCCTTGAATTTCACAGGACCTTGACACTAAACAAATTGCTCTCTTTAAGGTCAATGTGAACTTTGGAATCACCAAATTAAATGGCCTTTCATTGTTCATGATCTGTCTGTAATATTTAACTTTCCTCACAATACCTCTTTCTTCCTATGAATATACTCAAAAATCCCATATTACCTTAGGTTCTTGGCTCTCTATGTTCCTTACATCTGTCTTCTCTTGTCCTGTATCACTGTTGCCACCACATTAGTCCAACTTCATAACCTTTTATTTCTCTTCTCCAAACCACTCCCTTATTGATTGCCAGTCAAAGACATTTAGAATTAGAAGTTTCTTAATTAAATCAGTATCAACTCCACTGGCAAATAATTATTTCAACCTCTATGTGGTACAATCAAAAGAGACAGGATTAAGAGTTGAAATATCTGGAATTATTACCTAATTCCAACTTGTAAATGAGTGACATTTAGACTGAGTTTCCATTTTGTCATTTATTTTTAAAGACATTAATACTTATACCTGATTATAAGTATCATGAAGATCAAATTATACAATTTATGTCAAAGACTCCCTAAACTATAAATATTATATGTTAGTTGTTGTACTTAGTGAAAAGGAACTGAACACTCTTCAAATGTCCCTTCAATTCCTCAGAGCTGGTAATCATTAGAAGTTTTTCTCTGTGTGTAGACCTATCTAGGTATATAGATATAGCAAGATCTAGATATATAGATATAGATCCAAATCTACTTTCTAAAACTTGAATAATTAATCTTATATTTACTGTCTCTTAATTCTGGCAATGATTTATGATAATACCCAGTTGTTGAGAGTATTAAGAATAAATATTCAGATAGACTGTAAGTAGTATATCTATTTAGAGAGCAATTTGGTAAGCTATTAAAATTTGAAATATGCCTTTACTCCAGAAATTCTACTTCTGAGAATTTACCCTATGGAAATGTTCACAAAGACATATGTCTCAGGATGTTCATTACAGCATTGTTTGTAATTTTTTTAAAAGTTACAAACTTAAAAATGTTTATTGATGAAACATTTCAAACGTTCATCAATAAGGGACTGGGTAAATAAATTAGGTTACAAGCATATAATGGAATATTATTCAACTGTTAAAAAGAATAAGATAAGTCTCTAAAGACTGATATGCAAAAATATCCAAAATACACGAAGTGAAAAAAAGAAAGCAAACTGCATAACACAATGTAGAGTGTGGATCCACTGTTTGTTTGTTTGTTTTTAAATGCTTATATAAGGTTCAAAAGTACATGCACATCTTTACATGTTTATATATAAACACATGCATCTGGAGGACATGCACCAAACTATTCTGAGAGGGAGATTGTAGTCAACCTCTATTTTGTATTCTTTACATTTCTCAGTTAGTTTTGCAATTATAAAATATAATAAAGATATTTGACCCCTTCCTTAATCCCACACCTCTTTCTCACTATAGCTCTCCCTCTATTCTTCCCTTCACAGTCAAGCTTCTTCAAAGAGTTACTTATTAAATTCCTTATCTCTCATTTGTTCCTAAACTTATTACAACCCAATTTTCAACCTCACAACTCAACTGAAGTTGTTCACAAGAAGGGTGAACAACTCCAATAAATATTTTTATATACAGCCAAATCCAATAAACATTTTTCAGTCCTCACTTTATTTGACGTCCCATCCTCATCTAATATAGATAAACAGCCCTTTTATCTTGTAATGTTGTCTTCCCTTGCCTTCTGCTCTTCCTCTTCTTCTCAACACCCCTCACTGATTTCTCTGCTTCTGCTGACCCTTAAATGTCAATATTCCTAGAGGTTCTCTCCAAGTCTCTTCTCACTCTACATGTGCCCCTTGAGTAGTCTTGCCTACTCCTATAGCGTTGATTACCATTTCACCAATCTTTATCTGAACCCAGTTCTCACTCCTAAATTCCAGAACCACAAAGTAAAAGGTCTAACATGCATCTATATTCAGTGTCCTATAGACACTTAAAATTCAACCTCTCAAAACTGAATTCGCAGTGCTTCTGCCACGAACTTGCTTTTATTCCCTACCATGTTTTCTATCTTAAGGAATAGCAAGTATTCATAACAGAAAGCTTGACTTCATCCTCAAGTCCTTCTAATTTACTTAATTGATCTCTCCCTCTACTTCTTCCTCTACCTTTCTTTATTGGAGCCAGAGTGATTTTTTTTCTAAAATGAAAATACAATATGATCACATCACACTCCCCTATCTGAAACCACTCAGTGACTCCCTATCCTTTTTAGAACAGGTTCAAACTCTATGAAAGGACATACAAGGCCAGAAATTACCTCTATAAATCTGTCTCTTGACATCCACACTTTTGTAACCCAGCTGCCCAGGCACTGAGAGCTACATGCATTTCTTAGAGTGTGACATGCTCTCTCTTGCCTCAAAATTCTGATAGTTTCTCTGTCTCAGGTATCTTTCTCTGTCTTAAGCAACTTCCCTGACTTTAAACACACACACACACACACACACACACACACACACACACACACACACATTTCATGGGTTTAACTCTTTCCAGGTCTATATGTCTCCATGGTTTCTGGATCCTCCAAAGCCAGTTTAAGTGTCCTTCTTAAATGCCTCTATAGCACTTTGTATCTATACATCATAATCCCTTACTATATCACAAGTTTGTCTATCTCTCCCCAATTTGTAATATCCTTGAGAGCAGAGATTCTGTCTTATTCTATGTAAGCACTTACAATATACCAGGCAATTTTCTATTTGCTATAAAGAGTAATTCTTTCAATCCTCATAATAACCCTGTGAGGTAGGTCACAGAGAAGTGCTATTATTATCCCCATTTTATAGGTGAGGACATTGAGGTATGGCATGGAGAAGTTAGGAACTTGACAAGGTCACACAGTCAGTAAGTCGTAGAGCTAAAATTCAAACCCCAGTAGTCTGTTTCCTAAGTCCATACTCTTAACTTCTATGCTATCTCATTTATTAGTGTATCCCTAAGACCCAGTGAAGTGCCTAGTGCATAGTAGGCATTCAATAAGTATTTCTTCAATAATTAGAATTAATCCTTACCACCCATACTGGGGACACTCATGGAGACTGAAAAAGCTTGTGAGGAGGGAATAAAAATCCCAAAAGAAGATGAGTTTGGTTCTCATGTCTCACCCTTTAAAACTGCTAAACAGGTCCTCGGTGACCTTGTGCACCTGCAGCACATCGTCCCGGATGAGGGTGATGTACAGGGAGCCCTGCAGACACTGTTTCCACAGCTTCTGGCACTGGTTATTGGAGTTGAGGCACCCATGACAAAGAAGAAACCCAACTGCAGGTGGGTAAAACATTGCAGAGGAAGATTTCAGAAACTGCCATCCATGTAACGTGCTGCTATATCTCTTCCCACCTAATGCCACAAAACTTACTGATAACCCAGCGTTCCATTACTTCCACAGACAGGTATTCACAGGCCATCTGTGGGAAGAGAGGCAGGGGTGGTCATGCAATTATTTTACTTGATCTTTCTCTAAAAGCAAATGCAGTCAAGCTAGAATGTGAATACCAAAACCAACTTTTATTTTACCAGGCTGGATTACAGCAGAGTGATAAGCCAATAGCTAGGAAACCTGCCAATAATAGAGGTGAGGCACTGGGAGTGAAGTAAAGGAAAGAAAAAGGAAAGGAGCTTGGGAGGAAGTCAGGACAAACAAAAGTTTTAACATAATACTTTTAACAACAGGAGAGCCAGACTCAAAACCTTCTCATGATTTCTCCCTCCTTCAGGTTCTTTTACCACTGAAAGTATAAATCACTCATTCGGTACTTTTCATTCATATTGTGCAATCAGTTGTATTATTATGACTACATGGTACATCTCCCCTACTAGACTAAGTTTTTGAAGCAAGGGCCCACAGTAGTCAAATGAAAACATTTCTTAATTAATTGATGCCTATGGTCAAGTTCCTACTGGGCTGAATAAATGCCTAATGACTCAGCTTTATCCATTCATTCATTCATGCTTTTCATGAATATTTACCATATTCCTTCTATGGGCAGACACACACTAATCCTGGTCCAAACAAAAGATCCAACCCACCCACAATTGCCTTTTTTTAATCCTCACCTGAGGATATGTTCATTGATTTGAGAGACAGACAGACAGACAGACAGACAGAAACAGCAATCAGTTGTCTCCCATACCTACAACCTAGGTATGCGCCCTAACTGAGGATTGAACCCGCAAATTTTTGGTGCACAGGATGATGTGCCAACCAAATGACACAACCAGCCAGGACCTAACCATGAAGTTTTAGCTACAAGAGCTGATCAACTTACAGACATGTACTAGAAGAGAGCTAAAGCACCCTTTGAGTTGATATTTCTTGAAACACCTTCTACAGAGATTGTCTTGGTGCCTCCATTGCCAAGAGGAAACAAGGACTTACTGTGTCTGAAGTAGCAGGATTAATCATGGCAGGGGGGCTGCTGATGAGACTTAGAAGCTGGGCACTGCGCCACTGCTCAGCCCCCTGGTTCCTTCTGACAAAAAGGAAGTGCAAAGAGAGGAGAGCTCCACTCACAGCCTGTGGGGAAAAGTGAATAAATCCTTAATGTCAACAATGGGGAAAATATGCTTCTTCCTGAGGAATTCACTACTCTCTCAGAGAACTTGCCTTTGTGTGAGGTCCAAACTCTTCTGTCAGTTTCTTCAGAGGATGGTCATACTCCAAGATCATCTGACTCAGACGGGGATAGCTGGGGTCACTGGAAGGAGGCAGAGGAAAGAGGACCACAGGCCTCCCTTAACCATGATATAAAGTCTCATGTTTGAGAGAGGATAAAGATGTGTGCATAGGCTGGCTGGCATTCTCTACCACCTCCAAAGATATACATACTAAACTATGAATTACACGTAATAATAATTCATTCCAAGCCCAGGTATATTGTTATGATTAGATAGAACCACATAATTTTTATTGTATTTTTTCCGTTACCATTTATCCCCCTTAACCCCCTCTCCACCTCCCCCACCACCCTGCAGAATCACATAATTTTGATCAAGTCCTTGAAAATATCTTCCACATAAGCACCCAAAATAGGATTGGACACATAATAGGTACTCTACAAATTCATGTTGATTAGTAGTAAATCAAGTAATGTGCCTAGACCCAAATCTGTATACAACCCAGAAAAAATGGAGATTTTATACACACACTCACACACACACACACACACACACACACACACACACACACAAACTAATGGGTAAGGCATGTACCTAGGTCTTCATACAGACACATGGACATGCACACCATGCATGGAACAATGTGCCACATCCTACTCTGATCCCTCTGGTCTTCATTTTTCAGCCCTTAAATACTTTTATTTGTACTGATGGAAGAGTACATAATTGCAGATAATCCAAAATCCATTTATCTTTGGCTTCAAATGTATTACCATACATTACTTACTTCCAATGGTGTTACCTTGCTAATGTTATTCCTACCGATACTAAAAAAAACCTTTTTTCTTTTTTTTTTTTTTTGCCTTTTGCAATAACCTGAAAAGCAGAGGGGAAGCCAGCCCAGGATTAAAAACTGATCAGAGACAATGCAAACTGGATAACCCACTAGGAGATATTCAAGATTAACTATATATAAAACTGCACTTGTTGGTGTTTGCACTTAGTATTCTAAGTTGCCTTTTTGGCCTCTGTCATCATGTAGATTACAAGTTTTCATATGAGAAAGCATGGCATCTATTTTTTTGTGTCCACCCCCTACCTCAGAGCACCTATAGCCCCTTAACTCACGTATGCCCTTGCATCATCTCATGGGCACAGTTGTACAAGCCAATTAGTACTCGTCGATCCTCAATTCTCGACAGAAGTAAAATAACTGAGGTGTAAGTCACAATCAAGTCCAGGTAACTTCGAGTGAAGTCAAAGTTGAGACTCTAGAAGAAAAATACATAGGAACCCAAGAAGATCAAAGCCAATTAATCCCTACTACCCCAACCATTCCAGGCAATGCCAAATCAACTCTGAAAGGGTCTATTTAGAAGGAGGAGCTCACAGGATTGAAAATTCAGAAGAAAATAAGAACAAAAGTCAGGGGCCAGAAGCAAGATCAAGATACAAGAAGGCCAGGAAGTAAGATAACATTTAGGGGTTGGAGGAAGCGGAATAAGAATATTTTTGTGTAATGTTTGTACTAAATAAATCACATTGCTGATCTGCTTCACATGTAAACACACTTTAACTTCAGCACCTTTTATGAAAGAATTATAGTCCTGGAAAAAATAGCCATTCATTCATTATATAGTGTATTATATACAGGTATGGGCAAAAGTAGGTTTACAGTTGCAATACAAATAAATAATACAAAATTAATAAGTAATAATACAAGAATAAACTTTCATGCACTCACAACTATAAACCTACTTTTGTATATATATTATATATCAGATAGTCCTGGAGGAACAGCTGTTCCTCTAGTCCCATCCCACCCCACACAGTCCCAACTGAGACAATTTTCTGTAGATAGGAGAGAATTGCAAAGAATCTTACAATATCAAAATGGCACTGGCAGGCATCAATGGTGTTGAGAAGTTCATATACATGATCCTGGGGGTAAAATCGGAGATAAGAATAAATAAAGAATACAGAGAAGATGACTTGTACTACTAGAATTTGAAAGGAAGAATTTTCTCCCTTGTAGGTCCAAGGAAGCCACTGAGTAACTCAAGAGAGGCATTGCTGAAGAGAGGGTGCCCCTTCTCAGTAAGTTGTCAGTGGATCCCTGTCGGGCTTACTCTGCCAAATGCCCATGTTTCCACAGGCACAAGTCACTATGGAATTAGATACACTCTCCCTGATCTTATCATCCCAGTGACCCCTTTCTCAAAAAAAAAAAAAGTTACAAAATGCAGATCATTTGATTGGCTGTTTCTAAAGTGCCAAATATCAGACCCATTTTTATTGATGAAGCCCAAAGTCAGTCTGTTTTTGGATTCCATCTCCTGGTCTCAGAAGTTAATCATTAACATATGGGAATACAACCCAACTTTGTGTTTCTATTTATTGACATCCTACTATGTACTAAATTACTTACCAGTTTAACAACCTCATATGTGCTTTCTTAATTTTCTCCCTATTTATATAATCCTATTTAGAGAGAAGAAAAAGAGCTAGAGATAGGTATTTTTGGTCATCATCTGTGTCGCAAAATTGATATAGTATTAATCCCTCCTTACCACTTTGTTTTTCTCATCAACCTTACCTGATGAAAGTCCTCAGAGCTTTTGGGTAGAGCACTAGTGCATTTCTTTTACATGACCACATAATAACCCACGGCATGGCCAATTCATTCAGCCTCTTTCCCACTGAAGGATTTGCCTTGTTCCCTATTCCTGGCCTATCCACCGCATTTTGCTGCTTTTGGTTCTACAAAAGTGAAACTGCCAGATCAAGAAGTATACATATATCTGTTTATTTTTAAAATATGTTGCCAAAATATTTGAACAGTTACTTTAAAATATATATAGACAAATTCCCATAAAGCACATTAAAAGATACTCAACACTATTAGCCATCCAGGAAAAACCAATTAAAACTCCAATAAGATACAACTACATATCCACTAGAATGGCTAAAATTTAAATCTGATAGCAGCTAGCACTGACAAGAATGTGGAGTAACTAGTGGAGAACACTAATATATTGTTGATGGGAGGGAAAAATGGAACACTCATTTTGGAAAAAAAGATTTCTTATAAAATTAAACACACACAATACCATATGATATAGAAATTCAACTTCTAGATTATTTACCTAATAATAATGAAACTATGTCTCCACAATGATTTGTACTCAAATGTTTATAGTAACTTGTGCATAATGGCCAAAAATGGATACAATTCAAATATCCATCAACAAGTAAATAAACAAATTGCACCGATACAATGGAATAGTAGTGATCAAGAATAGGAAATGAGTTGCAAATACATGAAACAACATAGATAAATCTCAAAAAACTTTGTACTGAGTGAAAGAAGCCAGCCACAAAAGAATATATTCTATGGACCTGGCTGGGTGCTGAGTGGCTCATTTGGTTAGAACATCATCCTGTACACCGAAAGGCTGCAGGTTCAGTTCCTGGGCAGGGTATGTACAGGAAGCAACTAATTAATGTTTCTCTCTCACATTCATGTTTCTCTCTCTCTCTCTCCCCCACCCCCTCTCCTCATGCTCTCTCTCCACCCTTGACTGACCCTACCTCTATCTCTAAATTCAATAAACATGTCCTCAGGTGAGTATTAAAAAAAAATTTAAAAAGAATACATGCTGTATATATTCTAATTGTATGAACCCCTGGAAAAACAAATATCTAATCTGGAAATTAGATCAGTGGCTACCTGGGACCAGGAGTTGGGGAGGTAGAGAGTGACTGAGAAAACAAAGGCACAGGGGACATACGGGGTTTAGGATACTTTCTGTAGCAACCAGAAAGTGTCCTAAAATCTCTTTTGGATTCCAGCTTTCCTAGTAAGAGGCTTTTTCTTATATGCTTCCAGCATTCTTTGCACTACCTCCACCAATGTCTACCTTCTTCCTAATCACTACTCTCAATTCCAAGATTAATAACCTCTGGCCTGACCCTCCATCAGACCTTACAGGTTTCCATGTCCCCACTTTTCTCTTTATTGTGTGGTCTGATCAACGGCCTGAATTAGCTCGTTAGGGTAGATGCGGGGTCCTTAAGGCAGGGTTCCCAAGGCAAGGTCCCATGCTGTAGTATTATCTGAAGAAATTCTATAATACCATCACAAACTTAGGTTGCTCAAATGGCTAAAATTTGTGTTATTTCTTGAATGCATTAAAAACACATGTTCATTGCAGAAAATACAGAAGCATAATTTTAATTTGCCTTTGAAACCATTCATAATCTCACCAATCAGAAGTTCTAATCTTCAGTATATACCTGTTTGTGTTAATATATATTTTAGGAACATCCTACGTCTTAAGCTGTATTATAATTTGTTTTTACACTAAAGAACATATAAAGAACATTTTTCCACACTGATTAATATAGATATATATTCTCTTTAACAGCTGCATAATATTCATTTATAGACATATACTCTGAACTTTTAACCAAACTTCTATTTATTGGATATATTCAAGTTGTCACATCAAAAATAATGTAACAGAGTACATTCTTGTACATATATCTTCAAGCTTCTATTTTATTTCTTTCTTAAGACAAACTTTAGAAGTATAATTGCTACATTAAAAAGCATGTATTTTTAAAACTTTTGAAATACATTATCAAATTGCCTTTCAAAATATTGTGCTAAATAATTTTAGTTTGTTTACATTCACAAAAATAATATATTCTCATTGTTTAAAGTTCTAATAAAATATCATTTATGTAATATTGCTATCAAACACTGTTAACAATCAGACAAGTCTAAATTGAAGGATAGTCTCAAAAATAACAAGCCTGGACTCTTCAAAATGTCAGTGTCATGAAAGACCAAGAAAAAAGAAAAGCTGGGAACTATTCTAAAGACTAAAGAGACATGACAGATAAATTCAGCGTATGATCCTTGAAACAACTAGAGGAATGTGAATCTAGGCTATATATTAACTATTAATACTGTAAAAATTTTACATTTCCTGAGTATGACAATTGTATTTGGGTTATGTAAAAATGTATTTATTCTTATTCTTAGTAGCTGTATGCTAAAGTATTTAGGGAGGGAAATGCCCTTATGTCTGCAACTAACTCAAATGGTTCAGAAAAAAAATTAAGATAAGCAAACATGGCAAATTACTAACAATTAGAAAATCCAGGAGAAAGTAGAACAATATTCATTATACTACTCTTGGAATTTTTTTGTATATTTGTAATAAAATATTGAGGAATAGTACTTTAAAATTTTTAACTCAAATAATGTAATAATGTATAGCTTAATAAGTTAATATTTTTTATTTTAATGTATAATATTCCAAATCTTTTCTATGTATATACTAACACTATGAATAGTCTATAAGCTTATGTATCTTTTAAAATAAAAACATAATTGTATTATGCAATATTCTGCAACTTGCTTTCATTTAACAATACAACTTAGATACCTTTTCATATCAGTACATCTTATTTAAGAAAAAAGCTGGGGAGAGGGAAGTGTAAGGGGATTAAATGGTAGTGGATAAAATATAATAAAGATTATATATTAAATAAATAAATAACAGTATTAAGCAACACAAATGAGCATTTATTAAAGAAGGAATGGTCTCAGAAAGACAATGCCCACACTTAGACCTGAGCTACAGAGAGCTTACCCGAAATTCCATGACATCCACGAATGACTGGTAGTAGTTGGTGAGCAGTTTAATAATCTCAGCTTTTTCCCGATGTACTGGTCCTAAATGTTGCTGAGAAAAACACAAAACAAAATTTACAAAATATAAGAAGACAAGTGATCAAAGTGACCCAAGAAGAATAGGAGTTAAACCGAAAACATTCTTGAAGACAGTTGAAATACACTGACAGAGGAAGTTAAAAAATCTCCAATGTTCTGAGGGTCTTTAAATAGAGAAGATTCTCTGTCTAGGAGGTGTGGTGGTTGCATGTGATTGTGACTAGATATAGAATGCTAAATGAGAGGAAATTCCCAGGTCCCTAGATGTTTATCAAAGTCGAAAGAGGCAGAATGAGAAGATGCTACTGGTGAGATGGTATGAAATCTACTGCTAACATGTCATAAGGGAGAAGGAAGCAATATCCCACCAGATACATAATTCTAAGACAATTAGCAAGGAAACACTGAGTGGAAAACGGGAACAACAATAAAATATATATACCCTGCTGGTTTCATAGAGCTGTCTTCCTCTACTAAAAAAAAAAAAGTGTCCTCATGAATTTTGCAGTGGAGAAAGGGTCAATGCTTTGCTCTAGCTTATCCTGAAAAAATTCTATATTTCTCAGAATTCTCAAGATTACGATAACCTGAAGCCCTATGATTGAACCTAGGAAAACAAAAAGAAGGCTATTCCATCTCCTACCAACCAAGCATAAGAGTTATTTCAGAGAAAGGAGAGAAGAGATCTCATTCTCACCGTGCTGTTTCGGACATCGATGTTGGGAAATTTCTTGTTGATGTACTTGAGAGATGATTCCATGGACTTTTCCAGTAGGAAAGGTGGCTTGGATTTGGAGTCTGAACAAGTCTGCACAGATACACCACACTGTATTTCAACACTTTCTCCTGCCCCTCATAAACATACCTTTTCCTGCATCGTTCATTCTCACAAAATCTCTCTTAGGGAAAGGGAATTCATCATAAAAGCATAAGAGTAGATCAGGAACAAGTTCAAGGACATTTAGCCAACTATCAGAAGAGCTAAATAACCTGGGCATCTTGTCTTGCCATATTAAGTTTAATGTCTGCTTGGCCCCAGCACAAAGAGGAAGCTCTCCCCACCCTTCAGCTGAAGCAGGAAGGAGTAAAAAAAACAGCTGCTCAGGAGTTAAACTCGATAGGAGACTCAGTGTCACAGTTATATCCATTATCTAAGTAAATCATCCCAAAAGGCTATTAAAGAAAACATGGGGACAGAGAAGCCATATTCCTAGCGATTTGTTGTATTTTTTTTAATGCTCAAAAGTTCCATCCCTAGGCCCACTATTTTCTCTTCCAGAAACTTCCCACTCTCACCCTTGTCTTTATCTTTTGCTTCCGTTGTCACCAGCCTCTCTCAATTCCACAGTTCCTATTCTAAACACACAAATACACAACCAACAGTATGAACTGTCTCAGACTCTAAGTATCTCAGAAAGCACCTATCCTTTTTGTTTTAATGTAAATATCACACCTTTTTTTTTTTTTTTTTTTCCTTTTTGAGACATACTTCCATGGATGTTTTTGCTGAGACCCAAGTTTGGATATTTTCAGAGTGTGGAGGATAAGCAATAAACAATATGATCCAGAATTCTAGACCCAGACCATTATCCAAGGGACTCAGAACACAATTATTTACCACTCCACCCCTACCCCATACCCAGAAGGAAGCAGATACTCTCATGGGGGTGAGAATCATACTACAAAGGGGAAGCCCCAGAAAAAAACCTCCCTTTCTGCTTAGCCTATATAATCCAAGTCACTGAAGGCCAGTTAAGCCAGCAGGAAATTGAAGAAAATCTAACCGCTGGACCTGCTGGCCTCAGGGTTCCCTGCCCAACTGTTAGAATAATCCAGGTGCTCATGCTTACCTTCTTGATGTTATACATACGAATGAGAACTCCCTGACCTCGATCATTGAGGATAGTGAGCTTTTCTGCTAATTTATGCTGATAGGCAGAGGTCAAAGACATGATGGCCACCAAGAGAGCAAAACATCCAGACAGCAATGCCTGATCTCCCCAACACTTTCAGCTTGGGTAGTGACACCCTCTGGGCGGAGGGACCCATCCTGGTTGGTGCACTGGTCTTCCTGTAACCTCTACAATTGGCTCATGAGTAAAAGCAGTCAATACAGCTCACAAGCCCTCAGAATCCTCTGTGCTTCCTCTTACACATTCAGCAGAGACTTCCTCTTTCTAACTGTACAGCTAAGACTGTGAAATGGGCGGAGGCAGGAGAAGGACAGGCTTTGAAAGCTCTTCATAGTCTGGCGTCAACATTTTTGGCCTTACCCCTCCACTACTGTCCTATATAAAGCTCTATACTAAACAAACAAATATTGACCACCCCACTCCTTTACACCTTTATACAGGGTCAGGCAGAAATAAGGCTTAGAGTGTGGTTGGTAGGGTGTGAGAATGTGTCACATGAGATGGACAGCAATTTGAACATGACACCTAAAATGTCATACCATGTGCTTGAGTGTGATATTGTTATGTTACAGAATTACACACTTATGATTTTCTGATAAAAGACTTTGTAATAAAAAGAGGGTGTTATTTGTCAGACCCTATAATTTTCTTCTTTTATATCCCCTCAAGAATGCCTACGTTACTCTCTCCTGAACCCCAGCATTCTTTAGGGCCTAAATTAAGTCCCAACTCCTCTTATTTATTCCATCCAATGTCAAATATTTTATATATAACATTGTATTTCTTGTTATATTTTTAACTGTATGTATTATTTCCCCCAACTACTTAATGAAATTATTTCCCCCAACTACTTAATGAAATTAAGTAGTCATAAGCTCCTTAATGAAAAGAATTGTATCTAATACTTCTTTATAACCCTTCAATGCTCTCGTACAGTGATTCTCAAACTGTGGTTACATAACATCACCTAGAAACTTAGTAGACTTACAAATACTGAGGCCCCACCCAGACCTACTGAATCCAAAACTCTGGGGCACTGTTTTAACAAGCACCCAGGTGATTCCAGTGCAGTTTCAAGTTTGAGAAACACTGTTGTAATACAATGGTTTTTACAGTTAGGTATGAAATGGAGATCAATTCCTATCTCAGAAGATTCAGAATTGGTAGGTCTGCAGTGGGGCTAGAAGTCTGCATTTATAAGAAGCTTAGGGGGTTTTGGTGCAAATGTCCAATCAGATACGTATTGAGAAATACTGATCTAGAACACCATCTCCTGGACACAGTAGACACTCAATAAACATGCTGATTTATTTGTTGAATTAGTAAGGCTAAAAGGGGAAATAGGCCCCATGAAGAACAACCAAATTAACTGAGATTAACAAGGAGAAATTAATAATAGACTTTAAATTTTAGAAGACTTCGTGAATGTTAGCACTAAAATATTAAAACCAAGCTATAACTCCCGAATTCAAGAAAACCAACTCACTTTCAAGTGCCTTTCAAGGCAGAAGGTCCTTGGAAAAATTCTAAATCAAACAGAACTATCTTCATATTTGCGTCCTTTCTAATACCTTTCTCCCACTTTTCAACCATTTTCACTTTCCATATCTCGGTCTCTTACATTGCCTTAATATATCCTGGGACTGAGGGAGGGGGAGCTGATTAGCATTATTATTTAAGGAACTTAATATATTTTCTCCCAAGAGAATGTATTTTTTAAAGAAACAAGAAGTCCAGCTGGTATGACACAGTTGGAGTGTCATCCCATGCACCAAAATGTTGCAGGTTTGAGTTCTGGTAAGGGCACATGCATAGATTACAGATTCGGTCCCTATTGGGGTACATGCAGGAGGCAACCAACCAATGTTTCTCTCACATTGATGTCTCTCTCCCTCTCTCTCTCCCCCCACACCAAACCCTCCCATTTCCTCTCTCCCTCTCCGTTCCTATCTCTCTCTGGAATCAATAAATAAACACACACACACACACACACACACACACACACACACTTATTTAAATTTTCTAATAAAAAATAAATAAAAAAGAAGATGGCAATGCTTAACACATGAAATTTTAATCTCCAAGAGAAATTTTGCATTTTTGAAAAATAGAATTTGCCTTCTAGTTTACTTCCTGTGTGTGTCCCTGGAAACCTATGGGCATGGTGTTAGGAATACTTGCCCTGAAGATTTGAACCACATGCTATTATCAAAGAAACCCAACCCAAATTCTACTAAAGAGATTTATAGGTTTTCTATTGGTCTTTCGCCTTGATAGAGGAGAATAAAGAGCAGGCAATAAAACACTATAATCTAGGAAGCTGAACAGCAATGTAACAGTAGGCTTCTTACAAGTTAGTGTAGTTCTTTTGGATCTTTCTTACTTGCATTTATCCTCATCCTTTAATTTGTGTTGAAGACTTTCCATACCAAGATAATCTTATTTTCTTCTGTCTCCTAATACGTACTTCCCAACCTAGTGGGAACCATGTTCTCAGTGTACTGTAAATATGCTATGTTCACTTCTGCCTTTCTCTCTTGTGTATACTTTCCCTCTTGCTGACCCAAATCCTAATCAATCTTCTGGATCTAACTCAAATAGACCCAAGTTCAGCCCTTGCTGAACTCGTACACATTTGGTCTAAAGTACATTTGGTGTAAAGTACATACTTTACATCTAAATTCAAGTCCACCTGTAATTGTCCATTTCATATTATACTTTCTCCCCAGCCAAACTGTAAGATTTCTGGAGCTACTTTTTTGCCTGTACTTGGTATATGAGAAAAACCTACATTTTGGCATCAGACAAAATTTTGGGTTCAGAGGTAGTTGAATACAGTGAACTAAGCCTTATGATTAGAAGCTAAGAGTCCCAGTTCTGGAGCAAGATAGCTTGAATTCACATTTCAACTCTATCACCAACCAGCTCAGTTTTACAAACCAGTTTCCCTGTCTGTAAAATGGAGCTGATATTGCTAATATTTCCGATCTTGAGGAGTTATTGTATGTGTTAAGTAAGTTACTACATGTAAAGTAATAACCTAGCTATTTACTATGAACCAGGTACTTCAAATGCTTTACATGTATTACCTCAAATAATAATAATAATGCTACTCAAACTCATACCAGCTTTGTAACTTTAGGCTACCTATCAGCACTGAGTCAGTTTCCTAATCTGTAAAATGGTGGTCATCCCTCATATAACTGTGGATGTGATTAAATCATATGGTATATATGAATATGTGTCTCAAGACCCATACATTGAATTAGGAATGCCAACAATAAAGAAAAATTTTGATTTTTGAGTATGCATGAGTTTGTCACTTTCTGTGGAATTCTGTGGAATTGGCACCCCATAAAGAAAAAGCCCAAGTGTAGGCCCTAGATGGGTAGGTCAGTTGGTTAGAACGTAGTCCCAATATGCCGAGGTTGCCAGTTCGATCTCCAGTCAGGGCACAAACAAGAATCAACTAATGAATGCATAAATAAGTGGGGAACAACAAACTGATGTTTCTCCCTCTCTCTCAAATCAATAAAATAAAATAAAAATAACTTTAAAAAATAAAAAGGCCAGGTTTAAAAATGGGATTAATCATGCCAAATGGTAGTCTTTAGAGAAACTTCATTGGAGAGATCATGTGGCAGTTCCTCCTAGAAATGAAAGGAGCCCTTCTAAGTGTAGCCTAATTACCCCCGAGTAGGGCCTAGTAACCCTAGCTACAAATCAGAATCTCCTGTGGAGTGCTTTTTTTTTTTAAATAGATAATTTCTTTTTTTTTTAATTTTTTAACAATTTTATTTATTAATTTTTAGAGAAGGGAAGGTAGGTAAAGAGGGAGAGAAACATCAATGTGTGGCTTCTTCTCGCACACCCCTGACTGAGGACCTGGCCTGCAACCCAGGAATGTGCCCTGATTGAGAATCAACCCAGCAACCTTTTGTTTCGCAGGCCCACGCTCAATCCACTGAGCCACTCCAGCCAGGGCTCCTGTGGAACTCTTTTAAAGCCACAGTTAGCCAGATCCTACTTGTGAAGATTCTAACCTGAGAGTTCTGGAACGGGGCCAAAGGATCTATCACTTTACAACTACTCAGTGTTTCTCATACACAACCAGCATTGAGAACAATTTCCCCAAAACTTAACTTCAAAAATGTCCAAACCACTGAGAAACCATAGAACATTTGGTGAGAGAAGAGGAATTTAGCAGACTGAACAGAAAGTTGACTCATATCACTTGACAGAAAGGTACTGTGCTTTCCCTCTCCTCAATCTTCAGCTATTTGACTTGTTTTGCCTTACAGACAACTATTTTCCTTTTCAAATGAAACTTTCCTTTAGACTCTTGAGAAAAGTGCTTCAAGAATAAGGTAGGTCTCAAAATCCTTTAGTGTTAAGGTACATCAAGATCTTGCCAAGCCTGCAAAACATTAAACAAATTGGCTTCCATTATAATCTTGGCCTCCCGACTTCGATATTCAGCTATTAATAGTCAGATGAATAATTCAAAGTTGCCAAATCTCACTGCCTATTCTGAAGCATTCTTAGTTTATTGAGACCAGCCTTACTAAATTTCTTACTTTTCTAAGCTGCTGACTAAAATAAAGGTTTAGGGTTATCTGAGGACAACATTTAGGTATTGAAGGTCTTTTCCATTATCTTTAAGAATAACTATATACAATATTGGATTATACTGCAGCCTTTATTTTTCCTGATAATTTTTTTATTTTTTTAATTACAGTTGACATACAATATTATATTAGTTTCAGGTGTACAACTCAGTGATTAAACATTATATAACTTACTAAGTGATCATCCCAATAAATCTAATACCCATCTGACACCATACATAGTTATTACAATATTATTGACTATGTCCCTATGCTGTACTTTACATCCCATGACTATTCTGTAACTACCAGTTTGTACTTCTCATTCCCTTCACTTTTTCACACATCCCCAAACCCCCTTCCATTTGGTAACTGTCAAATGTTCCCTGTATCTATGAGTCTGTTTCTGTTCTATTTGTTCATTTATTTTGTTTTTTAAATTCAATTGTTGATAGAAATGTGTTTA